ACCCCTGTAACATCTTCTCACACTTGAGGCCAAAATGTTCAGTTATGCTGCTCAGTGATGACCCCAGCAAAGTAGCTAGACTTTGAATCACCACAGTGCCTTGTTCAACCCACTGAATTCCTCAGTCCACTTCTAGACAGTGGAGTATGAAAGATTATAAAAACAGAATTGCTATAAATAACGGCAGTGTACTCTTGAGTCTCTCTAACTGGTGATGTTTTTTGCCTGAGTCACAAATTACTCCCTAATTTTTGGCAGACTTGAGGTAACCTGTGCCCTCCACGCACAAAAAATAAATAGAACTAGACAGCCACCAGTCAGTGTGTCTGTCTCTGTACCGTTAGGGTGATGTGTTCTGCATCAGACCCATGCTATCTGTTAAGTCTCCTGTAGTAAGTACATTTGATTTGTGGTTAGAACATGTTTTTCATTTTATTGCAGGACTGTATATGGTACATAGAAATGTGACTTCATGTGATGCATATGTTGTGTATTGGTGGAGTACAACAATTAAATGTATCAGAATCACTGGTAGCTATATTTTCTAAGTAACACACATCAATCTGTCTGACTGTGTTTGGACATCTTGTTAGAATTTAGGACTTGCCACCACATAAGACACAAAAAAGGTTTTGTTAATTTTGTGGACAAATCAGCAATTAGCATTTTATTTCTGCAATAGAAATCATCAATTGTCATTTAAACCATAGTCACTATTTGGGGTTTAGATTTTTTTCTTCTTCTTAAACAGACAGGTCCCTAATTAAGCTGATTTCTAACAATATACTGTGCTCACTGCCACCAGTAGAGGAGTGGATGATTTAAAGAAAGGAATCAAATAAATATAGTTAAACATAACCTTGATTAACAAGTCTTGTTATTCATGGATGACAGCACAGTTAATAAGTGTTTTCTGGCTGGGATGCTGGACTGGAATTTAATGGTGAGGCACAAGTGCAACAGACTGCAGATTCTCAAGACAAACACACACTTCACAATCACAGTACGAGAGGCATGTACGGAATTAGTATGTATTGGCTGTGCTAGTCCAGTTCAGGTTTTCCCCTTCACTGATCCAGGTGTGAACATGAACAACACTATGAGCAAGAGACTTCTAAATGGGTGTTGGCCTCGAAGAAAACTGGCTCATGTTTAGAAATGTTGCTTGAAATTAGAGTTCCTCACCTGGAGGGAATTTTTTTTTTTTTATATTGTCTTAAAAAAAAAAGAGAGAGTTTTGGCAGCAGTTGTAGTTAAGACTTGCAGAACAGATATCCAGCTCACGTAATCACAAAAGTGCATCCGCATGTTAAACTTGCTATGTAGTCTTCTACAGTGAATTTTCTGTCTTTAAATGTAAATGACATAGTATTGCCTTTCGACTTTGTGAGTCACTAGAGCAGAGACAAAAAGAGTTCAAATATGAAAAATATGTTTTGTACGTTTGCCATTAAAGGAACAATGTGATTTGAAGAGAGCTAAAGCCTGGATAGTTTCTGTAATAGTTTTCTCCTCCTCTTCAGCCTTAACCACATTTTGGTAACCAAATCCATCTAAAGAGTAAGGAAAGAGTTAGAGATATGTATTGTGATAAGTGACTTTCTGTCGGCCCATTAGGGATATAAAAAAAATATATACCTACAGAGAAAATTAGTAAAAACCATACCCCCCTTTCCACTCCACAAAAATTCCTAAAATATGTGACCTCATGATGGTTAAAAGATAGCCAAGAGTCAGAGCTGGGCAATGATTTTATCATAGATTGCAGCCCAGGCATGTCATGGGTCATGTGGTTCAGCATGTGAACAGGAAGGTGAGAATTGGTGAACTTTTGCCTCAGTTGTGCAGTC